TGCTTCAGTGTTTGAATTTTGCTGTTAATATTAAATGCATATCTAATAAGGCATGTCAAGAAAATTCAGAAAGACATTGTAATTTTTTAAATAAAAAAATATTTATGAAAATAAAATGCATTATTTGTGAATATTTTTCAAATCTATGGATAAAGAAGATTTTTTTTCCCCATAGATTTGAAAGCAGGTTTCCAGAGAGAAAAAGAATGAAACTAGAGGTACTGTGAGCTCAGTGCTCACAAGATCATAACCCTGCTCCCATTTAGTATAATGGCAATTGAAAGTATATGTTTTGTTATTGGGAAACTCCATTACAGTAAAATTTGTCTAGTCTGGACACCATTGGTTCCATAAAAATTAGCCGGATTAGACATACAACATTCCGAATAAAACAACATTTTAGACAATTTATTTACTGAAAGGGACTTAAAGTTAACATCATATTAGGCAAGATTTTAGAATACACAACATCAGGATAAGACAATAGTTTCGATGTATGCAGACACATTGAAAATGCTGATGAACCCCTTGTGATAATGGCTGTGTAGCAATAATGAATGAGCTCAGGCTTTAGGCTAAGCATCTAAATTAGTGCAAGAATTGCAGGTGAAATATGCCATGTATAATTTTCTGAATTTTGAGTCTTGACAGGCCATAGTCATCTTTAAGATGAAGATAATCAGGCTCTAAGTGGATTTCATTTTCTGATCAAGCTATTCAGCCTCCAGGAATATCTGCACCTTCTCTCCATGAGTTAGGTCAGATGACATCGATTCACAAAAAAGAAAAATAAAATCAGGACCCAAAGCATAAGAATTAATTTTGCCAACAAAAGCATCACTATCAGAGGAGAATAACGCAATAGTGTTAAGAATCTCGAGGGAAATTTACCATATATACATCTGAAATGGTATAAGCATTAAGGACTAGCTTTATTGGTGCTGACAAAGATTGATCATGGAAACTTTGCTGTACCACCTTAATGCAGTTTATTTAAGTCCAGTGGGACAGGCTAAATATTATTGGGCATCAAGAACACACCAAAAGTACTGCGTCATAAAAAAAACTTGCTAAATTAAGTTATAAACCAAGCTGACACCAGGAGGATTTCAGAAGTTCATTTATTCTAACTTGACACCCTCTCTTCTACAGATCTTTTTTTCCACGCGTCACAAAATTGAGGACGTTATCTGGTCCTTTTCTTTCCGGAGACACTTCATATTCATGCAGTAAACTTGGGAGATATGACATATGTTTTGAAATAGAAATTGTTAAATAGTGATTTTTCCCACACAATGTAAACAGGTTGGAACAGTGTTATAAATACAAACACAGTGAGTGTTTGAATAGGAAACTTGAAGGTACTTAACAATTTGTAGTCTATTGACCACTTCTCTTTCACTGTTTATCTTCCTGGCACATCATCCCAGTCCTCAAATAATAATATAAATATACAATTTCAAAATGTGTACTTTTAAAAATTAAAATTCAATCTTTTGGACTTAAAATCAATTGTAGCAAGGGCTGTCCAGTGTATGCACTCTCTCTTCTCAGCAAAGCATGTTTTACTTCTTTGAGGTCATCACTCGCTATATGTTCAGTGCCAAATTTTGGCCTTTACTAAGGTATGGGCTCAAGCGAATGTTAGTGCCAAACTCAGGCCAGTTCACAAAAGGTATGGGATCAAGCCAATGTTAGTGCCCAACTCAGGCTAGTTCACAAATGGGCTCAATGTTAAGTGCCAAACTCAGGCCAGTTCACAAATGGACTCAATGTTAGTGCCAAACTCAGGCTAGTTCACAAATGGGCTCAATGTTAGTGCCAAACTCAGGCTAGTTCACAAATGGGCTCCATGTTAGTGCCAAACTCAGGCTAGTTCACAAATGGGCTCAATGTTAGTGCCAAACTCAGGCCAGTTCACAAATGGGTTCAAGCCTATGTAAGAGCAAAACTCAAGCTAGTTCACAAATGGGCTCAAGCCATTGTTAGTGCCAAACTCAGGCTAGTTTACAAATGGGCTCAAGCCAATGTTAGTGCCAAACTCGGGCCAGTTCACAAATGGTCTCAAGTCTATGTTAGTGCTCAACTCAGGCCTGTTCAAAATGGGCTCAAGCCAATCTTAGTGCAGAACTCAGGCTAGTTTTCAAATGGGCTCAAGCCAATGATGGTGCCAAACTAAGGCCTGGCCTAGGGGCCATAAAACTTAGATGAGCTCACTTTTGATCTCAGTCTCACTTTTCCACTATTAATACCTTTGGTAAATGTGAGACTGAGATCAAAAGTGAGCTCGTCTAAGTTTTATGGCGCCGGAGCCAGTTCACAAATGGGCTCAAGCCAATGTTAGTGCCCAACTCAGGCCAGTTCACAAATGGACTCGAGCCAATGTAAGTGCCAAACTAAAGCTAGTTCACAAATGGGCTCGAGGCAATTAATGTTAATGCCAAACTCAGGATAGTTCACAAATGGGCTCAATGTTAATGCCAAAATCAGGCCAGTTCACAAAAGGGCCAATGCCAATGCAATTAAGCTTTACTATAACCCATGCCTACTACCACAAAAGAGGATGCAAGTTTTTAAGTTCTCACCTAAAAGACCTGTTACATTTGCTTGTTACATCAGCAAATAACCTAGAAACAGTTACTATATTTTAGAATCTCAGGTGATCCTCTCACACACAAGGGGAATGCCCATGCAGGGCTACTTAACATGCATGTACTCTGATCAACAAATTGCTGTAATGAGCCTCATAAGAAAATCTTAATTAAAATTCACTATATCTTACCATTATTATAGATAAAAATAAGTCAGATAAACATGATAAGTATAAATCAGAATAAAAAACTTGAATGTTTATTAATGGTTCTACGATCAGGAGAAGCAGGTTAATTTATTTCTTGTACATGTTACAGATTACATCAGAAGGTTCACTGAATTTCTTCTTTCAAGCTCATTACTGGAAATCAGACCCTTCTCCATCAAAAACTGACATTTATGAGCCATGGCCATTTCAATTTCACTCCAATCCAGGTTTTGTTCTGGAGTTTCTCTTCACAATGGAAGGAGAAATCATTAAGTCGTAATAGGAACAAGAAAACTCTGGGGGTGATTAATTTTTGCATGTTTAGCTGTTACATAATTCTATGTTTGCTGTCATTGGCTCATTATTGTATTAGGAGGGCTATTATATTGTTTAGAAACTATTAATAAGGGCACTGCTCTCAATAATTACTACAAAAGGTAACATGATAATATAAGTCCTGTCTCCGTATCAGGTAAATTAATACAGTGAACTCCGTCTATAATTAAGGATGAAAAATTCAACATCCAAACTTCATAGTCTCAGATTTCAAACAAACAGAGACGTATTACCTTAAATGCTTCTTCTATAACGTATCTTTAATCAAGGACAAATGCAACACAGTTTTGAACTTTATTTTCTTATTCCCTGTATAATTTCACATTTCCAATAATCAGAGGACCTTTGTGTGATTTTATAATGCCTGCATGGTAATGCTGTGTACCTCATCTCATTTTGAGGAAATATTAGCTAAATTTATATTTTTGTAAAATAAAATTTGATATCTGTTAAAAAATCCTGTTAATTAATGTATGCTGAGTTTTTGTCTATGAACATTTGATGGGACTTAAGGTCAGAGGACACGTTCCTCAATAATTAATATATAATTTTTTTCCAAGAATTTATCATCGAAGTTTTGCTACTTAAACAAGTTTCCTCACAAAAAATTGAGGTACCTTACCAGGCATTTGTGCAAGAGAACAGAGGGTGGTATTTACTTTACCATCCTACTGGAAATCTTTTGATTTGCCAATATCACAATTTTTAGGTGTCTATATCTACTTAGACATTTTGAAAATAGTTTAAAATCACAAGATAATGATAATTATGACTAATTTGCTGTATACATGTATTACGAAGAGACACAAAACAGATATTAGAGCAATGTGTTGGCAGACCTTAATGATTTTAAATCAAAAATATCTTGGAAAATTATCATTGGGAAAGGTAAATTGTAAAGTACATGTACATGTGTATGATCATTTAGTTGAATTTTTTAAGTGTACCAAGAATTTGGCAATATACTCTAAATTTGATTCTTTTCTTTTCTAATTAGTTTTTGTGTTTAAACTCTTCATCAAATGTCATTTTTACACAAAACTGGGTAACATTTGTCCTTTGTGCATTAAACTTCATGAGTACTTTAATTTTCCAATCAACTCCAAGGAAAAAAAATGACACTGTTCATAAAACGCCTTGCTCAAAAGTTAATCAAGACTGAAAAATACGATAATTCCTATTTCACACGTGTTGGGTTTATGTCAAAACTGATCTGGTAAACAAATCCTTTTTCACTTTCACACTTGGTTTCTTGACTATTCACACATTCTGTGTATTATCTGGGTTTTTTTTCTACGGTTCCACAGAATGTTTCTAGTTTTGTTTATTGCCAGTAACAATTTCTTTTAATGCATTATCCATGTGATATGTAAGCCCCTGTTCAAAAAAAAAAGTGAGAACACATACCAACATCAAAACAAAAAGGAGGCTCTATGGTCAATGACATTTTATCTCATTACAGTCCGATCACAACAGGTGCACAAGAGTTGTATACTAAGTGAAGTGTTTTTCCCATGTTATTAAGAAGGGGGTTCGGAAAATTTTGGAAATAGAAAACTTATTCATTCACAATCTTTTAATGATTCAATGCTTCCTTAGCCTACGTACAGAACTCAATTTTTCTAAAAAAAATTTTAATTAAAAATTATTTCAAACTTGAATAAAGTAAAGAATTTCTTCCATATTATAATTCTTTTGAAAGGATTAAAGAGATCTGTCAGATTTTTATTTGACAGAAATGATTAAAAATTTGCTGATAAAATTATTAATCCTGGCAAATGTTCCTGTAAATGGACAAGATTGCGGAAGGTATCATTTAAATGTCTTAACTACAGAGCCCCCCTTAATCTTATCTAACACTTACCTATAGTATAGGCAGTGCCATCGAGGGTAAACGTAGCACTCTTGCACTTCTTGAAGATTTTGGGTGTAATGGGGCGGGGTCTTTTAGCCTGGTCGGGTTTCTCTGTATCATCATCTCTGCCATCCATCTCCCCTAAATTCACTGATGCAGGTCACAAAATATTTCCACTGATAAGAATTTAGTATGCAGTCAAGTATTTAGAAATTCACAGTTGGTCACCTCTTGAAAAACTTCACAGATATTTACCATCCAAGTAGAACTTTAACATATCTGAGACCAGATTCACTAGTAGTATACGTATTTACAAATATACCCCAATCAATAGATACCTCTAAGTTCATTAAAATCCCTGTGAAGTAAATATACAGTTGGTCATGGGACTCTCCAATCTGCAATAGTCCAGTTCCTTTTTACTTGAAATCCTATTATTGATTTTAATTTCTCTGCTCTGTATTATACCATTTTTTCCCACATTTTCTCTGAATTTCTGGGATGATGTACAGGTAATAGGGACATCACACTGACAAAAGGTGAAAGGATTTCATATAGGAGATTACACTGAACAAGACTTAATATCCAGAGAGAAGTGAAATATGAATTCTTAAGTTCTCACCTAACGGTTATTGCAGCATGGTCTCTCACACGGACCACTTGGCTGAATTCCGGCGGAGGGGCACAACTTCACAGACTCCCGTTCTTATGTGTCTGTATATACTCCTATCAAAACACAAAAAATAAATATTAATATCAGATGGGGAATTCTTAGTTTGCACTCGTCATCTCCCACTCCCAACTCTGAACTTAAAGGATAACGTCAAAAAAAGGCGGGCAAAACAATTACCAGAACACGCGACTACGCTCCTCTAATCTCATATGAACTAATCCAGGAACACAGAGGAACTCACGTATTGTGACTTCTCAATACTACACTGGTATTTATTAATAAAGAGGATACTTTGAATATTTGCTGTATTATATCAACAATTAATACTCTCTTCTGTTACATCCTGCAGGATCCGACAAAAAGACGGGAAAGAAAAGAGCATTAATTAACGTCAGTGTGGACAAAGCATTCCCACCATCGGGGAATAAACATCAATCACTGTAAAGACTTGCTTTAAAACTCTCACTGATTCTACTGGGGAAACAAAGAGATTCATTATCTAATACTTAATATGAAATCTTATAATTCATCAAAAGCTTCTTCATTGTTACCTCAAGGAAAGCAATCAAATCAAACGTTAGCTGTATATTCCATTTGAAGGAACTATTTAGAAGCAGTTAAACCACATTTCTAAAATTTATCAAGTTCTTTAATTTTATGGATGAATTATATAACATAACCTGAAAAATTATGTGTATTGAAGTAAACTATAATTCAATTCATACTGAGTAAATTCTAATGAATTTATAAGTTGTTCACTCATCTTGAAGTACTACTCAAAATCTACTAAAATTCACACAACTAGAGTGGGAGAAATGGTAGTGAAGATTGTTTTTTTTTTTGTTTTTTTTAATTTTCAAGAGACATATGTCAAGATTCTGTGATTTTAATTAATTACAGCAGTTAATAATGCTGACATTTTCTTTTGCATACAACAGAAAAGTGCCCAGTATACAAACTACTCACAAGGACTTTGAATTTTTTGTTTAATTTGTTGATTTTTACGACTTCTTGAAAAAGCCTGCTTCTTGGAAAATGAATGTATTGAAATCCTTCAATTACCTTCCCTTATTGTCCATCAAGACCTACATGATTCTGTTCCTCTCTGTCTGTCTTGGGAAGATGTATTACAGTCTGGCCCAAGTATATCAATCTAGCTTGTCAAACATGTTCAAGTGCCTACCTATCTACCATTACTGGGATTCTACCTGAAACAACCTTGCAACATTTCAGACTCCATTCTGTCAAAACAGAGTCTTGTCATCATTATCTGAACAGACAGAATTGTTTAGGCTGACGGAATCATTAATATCAAAGAGGATAGTTCTTGTCCAATCCAACGCCACAATCTCACCACATCTGTAAGTACTTCTAACGTGTAGTACCAGTACTTAATGATGAAATGTACTCTACTGCCTCTATAGCTTGTTCCATGCTTGTCTGAAGTAGTTCACTTCTTTGGTCATTCAATTGCCAGATTTAATAAACACATTCACCAATAAAAACTCCTGTAACTCAAATCAGATTATTTATTTAATTTTTTTTTTAATTTTTTTTTGTTAACAGAAAAGGATATGTTTCAATCATACTGCCAAGGAGAGGCCATATAGCCATCCATAATGACCTTGACTCATTATCATCACCTACCTAATGTAAACAAGAGTTTGGATACAATGTACTTACAGACAGAAAAGTTTTCTATAACATAATTTTATCACCTTATTGCATAGTGACCTTGAAATATGACCTTAAGTCAAGCTTTTTTAACACATGACTTTCTAAACAAGTGAAATATAAACTTGGTTTCACAGTGTACAAAGTACTGAAGTTACAAACACAATTTCAGTATCTCATTGCCTATTAATCTTGGAGATATGACCTTGGATCAGAAATTTAAAAAAAACTAGAAATATGTCCATAGGACATGAATGCCCCGCCGAGGGTATATTAGTAATGCAACATTTTAACACAAATTGAGAAAAGTGAGGTCAAGGTCAAAGGAAAGGTAAAGGTCAAAAAACATTGATGCAGTTGAATAGCTCTCATCGGTATGTATCAGCATATGAAGTTTGACACTAATTTAAGAAAAGTGAGGTCAAGGTCAGAGGAAAGGTCAAGGTCAAAAAATGTTGATGCAGTTGAAAAGGTTACATCAGTATGTATAAGCATATGAAGTTTGATGAAAATATTATGAATGGTTTCTTTAAAAATGAGCTAAACACTAATTTAAGAAAAGTGAGGTCAAGGTCAAAGAAAAGGTCAAGGTCAAAATATATTGATGCAGTTGAATAGCTCTTATCGGTATGTATCAGCATATGAAGTTTGACACTAATTTAAGAAAAGTGAGGTCAAGGTCAGAGGAAAGGTCAAGGTCAAAAAATGTTGATGCAGTTGAAAAGGTTACATCAGTATGTATCAGGATATGAAGTTTGTTAAAAATATCTTGAATGATTTCATTAAAACTGAGCTTAACACTAATTTAAGGAAAGTGAGGTCAAGGTCAAAAGAAAGGTCAAGGTCAAAAAAATGTTGATGCAATTTAATAGCATACATCAGTATGTATCAACATATGAAGTTTGATTACACTATCTTGAATGGTATCTTTAAAACTGAGCTAAACACCAATTTAAGAAAAGTGAGGTCAAGGTCAAAAGTAAGGTCAAGGTCAAAAAATGTTGATGCAGTTGAATAGCTTACATCAGTATGTATCAACATATGAAGTTTGATTACACTTTCTTGAATGCTATCTTTAAAACTGAGCTAAACACTAATTTAAGAAAAGTGAGGTCAAGGTCAAAAGAAAGGTCAAGGTCAAAAAATGTTGATGCAGTTGAATAGCTTACATCAGTAGGTATCAACATATGAAGTTTCATTACACTATCTTGAATGGTATCTTTAAAACTGAGCTAAACACTAATTTAAGAAAAGTGAGGTCAAGGTCAAAGGAAAGGTCAAGGTCAAAAAATGTTGATGCAGTTGCATAGCCCTCATCAATATCTATCAGCATATGAAGTTTGATAAAAATATCTTGGATAGTTTCTTTGAAACTGAGCTTTGAACAGAGCTAAACGCAAAGTGTGACGGAGGGACAGACGGAAGGACGGAAGGACAGAAGGACGGAAGGACGGAAGACGGACATGACAAACACTATATGCCCCGGCCATATTCATGGCGGGGTATAAAAATCTTAAAGCTGAACATGACTCGTAAATAGGCATACGCCATTTTCGATATTACTGTCTAAGATATCAACACCAGGGTATACTCTTCGCATTCGTTACACCTGACTGCTTTATTGTCACGGGTATCGGCGTGGAAGGGCGACCCGTGTTCGTGCTGGTTATCTTGCATTATCTTTGTTTACATTTTATTGCAGTTACTGACGTGTAATTGTGTTTTTTGTATACTGCACTGACCTGTGCAACTGTAGTAAATCTCTTTGGGATCTTACTCTCCTGCATTAGAAGAAGCACACAGTTATTTTTGTCGCTACCAAGTGCTGTATAGCATACGTCCATCTACACCGGTGACAATTGATTACACTGAACAGTGACCAAGTGAGCGGCTCTATATATAGGGGCCCTCAGATATAGCATGAGTCCAACCGAATATGGCGGACAGATTCTTTTTACCAAGCGTGTTCAGCTTTAAGCTCATGGACAGAAACATATCAAAGACAGGATTCATTGTAATGGAGGGTTCAAAGATTATGACCCTGACACTAGTCAGACAGGTGACACACAGACAGACAGACAAATGTGGCAAAATCAATGTTTCCAGCCAATGGAGACATAGCATGACTAAGGGTTGATCAAATATAACTGTTGTTATATATTTAAAACATAAACCTGCTATTAAAAGCAATTATCTTGTAATCCCACACTTCTGACAAATGTTAACTCCTTAATACATAAGCTGAAAGAATCAGCCTACAAGAATAAAAGGCAGAATTTGTTTATGCATCACCCAAAACCACAAAGCTCTCGGCACCACTAGGGTTAGGCAAGCAAAACAATGAGTCCCAAACCTCCACGGCTGCTTTCAAGTTAAAGAAGCTGCCAGTACCACCTACCCTTTTACATTAATAGTAACTCTCTTCATAAAGAAGAGCCATTACACGAGTTTGCAATTATCACAAATATCAGCTTCTGCACAGCTTAGCTTTTTTTTTTTAATTACGTAAAAAGAACTTTTTCTGGTCTTTGATATTCTTTTAATTACACCACCGCAATAAAACCTATAGTCCTAGAGCACTTGTACTGATATCAAACAGACATGAAAACAATAGACATTGACCCAAGATTAATAAAATCCAAGATTGTCTTGAGGCAAATGTTTCATTTGATTGAGAGTAAGATTTATTTAAACTTAACAGTAGGAAATCTTGGCTGTCAAGCAAAAAGCTGGATTCTTAAAGATCACAAAAGAAAGAAGATGGGCGAACAAGGCAAGCAAAGTGCCTATAGTGCGACAAACATGAAGGTGAAAATTAAATCTTAATTATAACAAAATTTTCTTTGATATTTCATCTAACATTATAGTATACTTTATGTAAAATCTCAACAATTTGCAAAAATCTCACAAAGATTGAAATTATTTGCCTATGAAATAGCATACACACACTAAAGAGGGCAAAAAGGATCATTTTCTCATACAATTTTTCTATATCAGTGGGTCTTTGATCCATTTTTTTTTTTAAATTTTATCCTCAAAGTTTGCATAAAAATATACATTTTTGGGTTAACAAAAACATGGAGCAAAGACCCACTATACCTTAAAAATACATTTTCATGACACAACATTCTCCTCTTCCGAGAAAAACTTAAAAGTCCATTTAGTCAAGGGTAATATTATAAATATATCATAAACATGATTTAAATACAACTATTCACCAGAAGCTGTGTAGTGCAGTGGTTACCGCGTTAGTCTCAAAGATTTTTCATGATTTTGAATTTAATTTTTACATATCTGAAGCAATAGGCATTCTGCATGCCTTGTTCACCCATCTCCTTTACACATTTGAATTTCTAAGACCAGACAATGGTGATATTTTG